GAGATATAAAAAGATTTTTGTAAACTTGACCTGTATAATCAATAAATATTTCTTGAAGGAAAGAAATTGTCATTGCAATTTTAATTCATAAACTTCATATAAGTATAATTTAAAACAAATCGATTTAAAACATGATAAAAACAATTTTATAACCGAAGCGGAAATAATTTATAACAAAGGCATTAAAAGTAAACAGTTCTGACAAAACTGATTTTTAAATATCAAAGACAACATTCAATGCAATTAAACAATAACCTTCATATCTGACCCACTTCTGACAGGGAAGGAAGTTTTTGTTTACAGAGTAATAAGACACTTACTGCGCTGTTGTCATTAACAGCGGGGATTGGGTGTAGCTCACTTGACACCCTGTTGTGAAAGTAATAAAGTTTAACTGACCTGGACAGACATCTCTAGTTACTAAGAATAACAAGTGGGGAGCAGTTGTTTAAACTGTAATAAAACACTTGGCGGTTTATTAAGTGAGTTCTTCTGCTCTACTCACATTACCACATAAACAATAAACACTGGACTTTGAAACACTATTCCTTTCTGATTTCAAAGGAACCAACGACAATCAGTGAATGTTCAGATAATCTAGTGGCAAGTGAGACCTGATCTGTTTATTTTAAAGTTGTATCATCTTTAATTACAGAGAAATAAACGTAAATAAAACGAAAAAAAAAAGAAAAATATGAAAATAGCAGATTCAATCATAATTCCTGATAAGTTGCAAACACATTTACGATTTTAAAAGAAAAACAGCCAATGCTAAGCATTAAAAAAAGCGATAAGCAATTAGTATTATCAACATACAGTGCTGTAACGCGTCCCTCTGATCGATTTCCGCACCCCTATTGCACGAAATCGGAACAGTCCACCTGGAACGTCATTAACCCCTTAAGGACATTGACATTTTTGATATTTTATAATCATTAAATTAATTAAACGTAATAAATACTTAAAACTGAAAAAAAAGAAAGAAATGCGTTTATTTTGAAGAAAAAGCTTCAAATTCTATTTTCCTTTGTCTTGTCTTTCTGTGAAATATAACACCAATGAGTCATTGTTTACACAGCTGGATGACCTTGAACACAGCTGGAGTCGAATTTCCCGGGACATTCTCATAGAAGTCTCGGGAGGCAATGGGTTTATAGTAGGGTGAGTAGTAGTTGGCCGTATATTTTTAAATATTTTTAAAAAATTAAAATTTTTATTGCGATTTCTGACCCCCGGCTTAAATAAACTTATATATAATAAAATCTATTAATTAAAAAATTAAAAAAACTATTGGAGGTCGTTTTTGACATCAGAAACTAGCTTTAAATAACTTTACTGAAGGAAAATCAGTGCATTACAACTTTAGAACGATGAATAAAATGTGATATCAAACTCCCATTAAAAAACAATTAAAAAGAAATAAAGCGTGAAGCGCGCGTTATTAAAGGTTTTTTAAAATCGCGATAATATTTTTTCGCTGGGGGAAAAATTTTGAAAAAATTTGGGGACCTAAAAAACATTCCAGAAGTTGAAATAAAAAATTTGTGAAGCCCAAACGTCCGATGTGTTCGTAACGCTATGTAACTTGCCCGAGTTTACTCGGGTTATGGGCTTAAGGTTAATGACAGGTAGCACGCTCTAACGTTAAATATGATCGACTTTCTGAGCTGCGCAATCGTTTCACGCATAGTCAATGTATTTGCATTTTGCGTACATTTCTGTCGTGAACTGTAACTGAGTTAGTTTAGTTTAGTTGATACTAGCATAATTAACTTCATTTATAGTTCCACGGTGCAATTGTGAACACCCTCAGCAGTGGACCATGTAAATGTCGCTCAACTGAGTGGTGCCATCATAACTAACTTTAACTCTGTCAACACGCTGTCTTCCTGTGACATCATTACTTCCTATACAACGAACTAGAATATACTGCATATAGTGTCTGTAGTGACGCCATGTTGACAAATGTTGAATACAAGTCTGCCAATTTGATTTTAGTGAAGGGTTTGTGCTACTTGCACTGTATAATGGAATGGAGCTAGAATATTCTAATTTGTTGTTTAAAAGTGTGCAAAGGAAAGGAATGGAGGTACGGTCGATCCTGCTTACTTTTTTTTTTTAATTTTCGAAAGTAAATAACAAGACATTTCTTTCTTTAACTCTTTATTTAAACGCTAAACAAGACAAAATATTCTGTAACGATAATTTAAATGAATTTCTAAACATTCTTAATTTTACTTTCTTGGCTGTTATGTATACATAACAAAAGATAATTATTGGAATCGTGTCAAGTTTTTTGCAAATATCCAATTTTTGAGGAATGACGTTTGAAAATGGGAAGGGAAAAAATATTTCATATATGTGTTTGTTAGAGTTTGTAAGAAACGAAATTTGGCATGGTAACTTGTGTATAAAGAGCAGTGATGTTATTAAATTTTGTAGGTTAGTGGTAAAAGGAGTGTTGTGTTATATATCTCGCGAAAGGTTGCATGTAATGAAGATATTTTTCGTTAATATTTATAATTTTTTAAATAAAAAAGTTACTACCACCCAAAATTATGCCTTTTGCCATTCGATAATAATTAAAAACATAAAACGTTATTTTTGAAATAAAATCTTACAACAGCCGGAAAAGTTAGGAAACCCGTTGCTTAATGTTTTTCACAAGCTGCTAGGTTTAAAATTCAGTAATTTTTTAAGTTTCTGTTTTAAGAAAGAAATATAATTAATTCTTACCAGTAAGATATTTAATGAAATTAGTTCTAGACATTTCTTTAAATGACATAACGAACAAAAGGTTGACTTCAACAATGTGGTTCATAAGATGATAAAGGTCAAATTGTAATTTTTAATTGTAAATATTTTTATAAGTTAAAACCAAAATCTTCGCAAACAAATTATAATTATAATAAAAATAAAGACCACTATTTATATTCTGCAAAATATGAATATACTGTCCGAAAAAAANAAACCGTTCCTAGAAGCGAAATTATAATAAAAATAAAGACCACTATTTATATTCTGCAAAATATGAATATACTGTCCGAAAAAAATCAACAACGTACCGAGTATGATACGGATCAGATTGGCCTGAGTACACCATAAATAAACATATAGACGAGAGTAAAGCCCTTCAAGACCTGTCTTGTAGTTAGGTTATAAAAATATTTGTATATTGAAGGTTAATTAAGTACTATACTTACCAGTTTAACTTCTGATCTTACCTTTATAATAAAGTCTAGAAAATAAATAAATTCGAAATAAAACAATATAGATTTAAATGAGAAAAATAGATTCTAAAGTGGAAATCCTGCTTAACACGTGGTATTGACTTTAATGTTTAGACATAAAGTAAAATAGCGGTCGATAGCAATTGTCGTTGCCACCAAGAGTGCTGTATCTAAAATCACAGCCATTCTATGTAGTAACGGGAGGAGCTTTCAGGAATGCTCGTTGTTCATTTCTGAAAGCTCCTCCTGTTTTCCCGCCCTTACGATCGCACTGCATTATAACGGTCTCACGAATCTTGCTGACATTTGTTACTTCAGAGCGCATTTCGAATAGAGATTTGCTGATTAATTCTGCTACTTAAGCTCACGTTTAATAAAAAATTATAGAGGAAAATTTTAGATATGTATATAATTTGAACCTATATTAAAACACAGTGATTAATAAATAATATTTTATAGTGCTTTATGGTTAATTGATTACTAATGTGTTATTAGTTAATACAGTATTACTTAAACGTATAAAAGAACTTTGAATAAATTAATCATAATTTACTTGAATCCAAGATATTCCTGTAGAATTAAGAAAACATCTGACAAATATCCTCCATTCTTGATAATTACAGCAGTTTCATTAATATCATTAATATCTTCGTATTTCATAACATGTTCTACCTGAAAATTTATCAACACCGAATTATAATTTGAACTTGTA